GCGTGCCCTCAGGAAGTTCTAGTTCTGGTGAGCAGCCAAGTCTAAAGACATAGCTTGGGTTGGGGCCTCCCCGACTAGTAACACATAAGGAGGTAGCTCACATCCGCCACTGGAAATCTCACTAAGTAACCCACATATTCTAGAAAAAGCTTGTCCACCTATGCAGGGTACCTGTTCAAACTCAGTTTTTGTTTGTTTGTTTTGCTTTTTAATTCTTTTTGAGATAGGGTTCTGGAGGCCAAAAGAGGCCAAAGGTCAGAGAGTTTGGGACTTGTTTTTAGTTCATTCTAGGTTATTGTACTTCTAACTCAAACAAAGGTCCCACTTAGTTGTCAATCAGAGTTCAGCTCTCTCAAGGCTATTGTCAACAGGTGTGGGCAAGTTGCCAGACCCTGGGCTCCTGGAAAAAAAAAAAAAAAAGTCTAAGGATCCAACTAAGTTCCAGTTCCCTTTATGGAAATAACTTGGGATTCCACCCAAGGAGTGGGTTGCCTACAGAGTGTTTGGTTGGTCTAAGGCAGGGGTCTAGGGTGTGAGCAATGAATGTAAGGCTGTGACTTTGAATTTGTATGTTAATACAGTCTTTTGTCTTACGGCTACCTTTTGGGGTCAGGGGTATATTAGCCAGTTGGAAATTAAACATGGGAAATTTTTCAGTACTCACTGAAATTCCCTCCAGATACTATCCTATATGTTTTGCGTTTTATTGTTTTCATTTGCATCTTCGCGTTCTTTACTATATTTCTAAACCACCACTTCTCCACTCTGGAAGAGGGTATTTTTGTCAAGGCTGGCCCCCAACACAGGGTCTTACTGTGTCGCACTGGTTGGCCTGGAACTCACTGTGTAGACCAGGCTGGCCTTGAATTCACTCTGCATCTCAGGTGCTGGGACTTGTTGGACCCTGGAGTACAATAACTGAGGAGGAGTTGACCCAAGGGACCACTCTCGCACCGCAGTTGATATAAAAGCATGAGGATTTTTATTAATTCTGTCACAACAGGGTCTTTCAGCATTTGAGAAGCCAAAAAAAAAAATCCTGACTAGCTGGTACAGGCTACTTTTAAAGCAAAAAAGCCACAGAAACAAGGGGGGAGTCTGGGGATTGTTCTTTAACTATTATGATTGGCTTATCCAAAGGGCTACTACCAATAATTGGCTGGAGAGCGGTTGCCAGATCAGGTGAGGTAAGAGGGAACATTTGAGGGTTACTTTAACCCTTTCCCAGGGACTGAGTCAAAACATCTGTGGACATCTGTGGGTTATCTTGTCCCAATTTCAGGAACGGAGCTCTATTTGGAGAACACTCACAAGGACTCAGGGAGATGGAAAGTTCCCAAAATTTCAGTCCCTGTTAGGTCCTTGGTTCCCAGGGGAGTGGGGAGCATTACTGCTGAGAGGCAGTAAATTGGGAGCATGGGGACCTTAGGAGAGGGTTAAAGAGGAGGGGAGAGGCAGGGAAGGGAGTAGAGAAAAATGTAGAGCTCAATAAAAATCAGTAAAATTAAAAGAAAGAACTGTCCTTCACAAGTTGTTCTCTGACCTTCAGTGTGCACCATGGCACATGTACAAACACATCTACAAATTTTAAAAATTACTTAGAAATCAAACCTGCTACATCTGATATCAAAAAATGTCAGTCGAAGATGAGGGCAACTGAGAACAAAAATGTGTTTCTGGTGTTTCTAAGACAAGAGACATTGATTGTGGTGATGCGTGTCTGTGATCTCCATACTTGGGAGGATGAGGCAGGAGGACCACTGTGAGTTGGAGGCTAACCTTAGGCTACATAGAATACCCCTGCTGTAAAAAAGCAACAACAAGAACATTAACATCAAAAAGACCCAAAGCAAGATTGGCAAGATGGCTCCATGTGTAAGGAGGGTTTCTTGTGCATATGTGCAAGTCTGACATCCCGAGTTTAGTCCCTGGAACTCACAGTGGAAACACGTCCTCCACGGGTGTGCAGTGGCACACCCACACACGAGTCATACATACACAATAATAAAAACATTAAAGTCTTGTGGACTTTAATTCAGAGTTTCTGTCTCCTATCAGGAGAACCACCTTGTGTGGGTCAAAAGGAAGATAAAAAATCTAGAGACTGAGGTTATCAAAACTCTGCTTTCAAAAATTCTACTTCTCCTCATACCTATATTTGTCTCTATAGTACCTTTCTCTAATGTCTATTGAAATTCAAACTTTCTGTTTTGATATAAATAATGTTTAAGTTTTCCACAGTAAACAAGACATTTTCTACAGTAATCTCTGAAGTCTGCAAAAAGAAGATGCAGCCTCACAACAATAATTCCACCTGATTCATATGATGCCATTAAGCCAATAAACACCGCTCAAAGATTGATTTTGGGCTACAAACTGCTCAAGATGATTCCAACGTGGCTAGCTGAGATGATCCACCTTCTTACAACATTCTGGCTAAAACTTCAAATAAGAGCTTAAAAAAAAAAAAAACCCTACAGACTACTCAGAGACTGTCTACATTTGAACCAGACAGTAATCTTTTTTTTTTTTTTTTTTTTCGAGACAGGGTTTCTCTGTGGCTTTGGAGCCTGTCCTGGAACTCACAGAGATCCGCCTGCCTCTGCCTCCTGAGTGCTGGGATTAAAGGCGTGCGCCACCACCGCCCGGCTTCAGACAGTAATCTTGAGACTTTACCATCATTTTAGTTTTTGCAAGATCCCTTAGAAATAACATCACCTCCATGACAGCTGAAAGTAATTAAAAAAAAAAAAAAACCCAGCATCCCCTCTCCCAATAAAATTTGTCCTTAGGGTTAGGGACAATTGTCATCTGTTAGGGGTTGGTTATAAGTTGTATGGGGTTGGGGATAGAAATGAAGTAGGCTCAGGGATCTCTTTTGGGAAAGAATAAAAAGGGAATGGAATGGGATAATAGGTAGATTAATGTTATCTACTTATAAACTATTAGTTATAGACAATTTACATTGGTATAGATTCTTATATATTGATACATATGTAAAATTAGCTTTATACTCCTGTATAAGATAATTTGTATATTGATACAAATTCAAATTATACTTGTTATATTGAATATGCTCTTATTTCTGTTTATAATATTTGTTACATATGTAAAGTTATTTTATCATATTGTATATGCATGCATGTTTCTACATCTACTTAAGATAATTTGTATATTGATACAGTTTTAGGATATATTTATCATATTTTTCATACATTTCTGCCTCTGATCAAGATATTTATATAGTTTATATTTTGAGGTCATGTCCTCATTTACTGCATATCTGTTTAAAGATTATTGTTTAATTTTATAATGTTAAGCCTTAGTATTTAAGCTATATAGGTATTAAAAATTATAGGTCAATAGTCACCCATATTTGTCATACTTTTAGTTAGGCTAATCAGGCTGTCTAGATGCACAGAGACCGTACTTTATGTAGATGGGTACTCTTCAAACACTTCAAAGAACTGTAGACTATGACATTTAAATAATTTGGGATTCTGTTGACACAACTGCTGCTGGAAGTACCAATCTATTCCCAAGAAAATGTTGGGAACCAAAGACACTCCACTTGGAGCTTGTTTTCTTCTCGGCAAAACTGGCCTTTGAGCAAAGAACTGCCCTTGCCTTGACTACTGACAAAATACACTCTGTTCAAACTGGACAAGCAAGATACAAACAAAAACGACTGCCAAATCTCGCCAAGACAAGGTAGAACAGTCTTCCAAATCTTCCTGCCTCTGAAAATGGTCTGTGAGATACTCTACTTTGCCAAAGTTGGTTGTCACAGCATTGCAAATGAGCCTTTAGGTGATTGCCTAGGTAGCCAGCTGTCTCTATCATTTCTTACACTGTTTGGAAGTTACTTTCTTGCACTTCCTGCTTACTCAGGTAATATTATTTTCTGCTCGGCCTCCTTAGTCTCCTTATTCCCCAGGGAAAGGTGAGTGCATTCTCTGCCCATTCCACAGTCCCACTAAGCAGGACAGTCAGTTCTGCAGCCCCATGATGCAGGACAATCAGATTCTATAGGGATTCAAAGCAGGAACTCAGTTTGTTACTGTGAGCATCAGCTTATAAGTGACATCATGTGATGTGGGGGTACCTCCAGCCAATGAGAGACAGCCAAGCCCTCCCTCTGGCTGGAGGGGTGTCTACGTAGATTTTGCTGTCTCATCCTCATTGGGTAGCTTTTACTATCCCTCAAACTTGAGCCAGGCCTTTCTCTGTCCTACTGGCCTCTAGGTATAGGTCCTGAGACAATTTTGCCCCAACACATTTTACATTTACAGGAATGCCAAGACACACTTGTGGGAATCAAAGGACAATTTGAAGCAGTTGTTTCTCTCCTCCCACTGTTTGGGTTCTGGGAATTGAATACAAGTTATCAATATTGGCTATGAGTACCCTGACAGACTGATCCATCTGATCGACCTCTTAATTCTTTACATTAAATCCTTTCTGCTGTGAGCTCAATCCTACAGACACACATGGGTTTGCTTAACAATGACGATAAACCCTACTGTTTGTTGTTACTGGGAAGCTCTCTGGGAAGATAGGAATATTTGCCCAAAGAAATCTTTTGTGGTCTATACTTCAAAGACCAAGTCTTGGAAAAAATCATCTATATCTCTGAATGGGTTGTTGTTTATCATCTCTTTGCTTATGTAATAATTTTATATGGATTTGTTATCTGTGACTTTGCTTTGATTACCCATAATGTTTACTGAGACATGATTTTTATTCTGTACATTTTATAGGACAATGTAAATAAAATCACTTTTTATTGTAATAAAATACATGTATGTGCCAACTCTTGAATGGGTTATTTTTCTTTGCATTGCTGGTTTTTAGCATATTGATTTTGGTCTCCTATTGGTACCTCAAGAGAAGCATCTAAGGATATCTGGTGTCCCTTTTGTGCAAAGCCCCTCCCAGAGATAGAAAGGGAGCCAGAAGAAGGATTGGGGCAAGTAGAAAAGATATAAAGAGCCAAGAAACCACATGAAGCTTTATTGCTAGTTAGAACTCAGGGAATCCTAGCAATTCGAAGCATCATTCTGGACTGGACCTCTGGATAGGGTACAGGTAGTGCGTTTTTGGCTGCCTGTTTCCGGATGCTCAGGATGCGGCCAAGGGCCTGCTGACACAGATCGGCACCCAAGAACTCCTCCACCCGCACTCGCCATGCTATCAGTTGTGGCCGTCCCTCAAACAGATTATAGCCAAGAGCCACCGGCTGCAGGGACAAAAATGTGGGAGCTGGAGAGCCAATGAGACCCCGTTGCTGGCTACTCAGCACAGGCGTGATGGACACAGCCCCATGGGAGGTCCAGGGCAGTGTGATCCATTCCAAGACCTGATGGTAGCCAGAAGCTGCCTCCCACCCCGGCAGGGAACAAGTCACTCAGGGTCTGCTCTGTGATTCTGGCTTTTCCCAGGTCACAGTGCTTCTGACTTATGGAAGTGGCAAGAAGAAGGGTCCTGCCCTTAGCTACTCTTCCACTCACTGGTCTCGTACCTGCATCAGCTCCTCCAGACACATGAGATCAGCCAGCGTCACCTGATGGCCAGCAAGGAAGGTCCCATTCCCAAAGAACTTTTCCTCCAGACGCTGCAGAGACTCGAACATATTCTTTCGGTTCCGTTCCACTTTCTCCTCTGGGATCTGGGTCCCAATGAGTGGCCCCAACACCTGACCGAGCAGCAGAAGTGCTCCGTATGTAACCTTGACTCTTACCAGGTCCGATCCCTCCCCAGAGAACCCTGCACACCTTGGTCCACAGGGGCACTCCAAAGATGCCACGGACGTTATCAGCATGCCAGCCTAGATACTCATGGACGCGGGCACGGGCTTGCAGGTCAGCTGGGTACCAGTGGTCCGCCACCTGGTACTTGGAACTCAGGTACATCAGGATGGCTGAGCTGGGGACCGTGGGAAGAGGGGCTGTAAGGACCTTGGCTGTTTTCCCATTCTTCGGTGGGACCCCGGGGGAGTCTCCCATTTGAAGTACTTTCTTCTAGTCTCCTCACCTATTATCTCTCTCTGCTCAATCTTTCTTCTCTGCGGGGCTGCGCATGGAACCTACCTCCTCCCCCCAACACACACACACACACACACACACACACACACACACACACACACACACACACACAGCAAGAGCTCCTCCAGAGCTTTTGTCATTAGACTAGTGGGAGAACCAGCCAGCACCTGGAGACCTGATCCCCAGGGCCAAGCCTTTAGCAGATTAGACAGGGGACTTCTGGGAAGTCAGGAGAAACTCCTTCTAGCCTTCATTATTGAGTCTCCATTTCGTGTATCCCTGGACAAACGTCCCCATTGTCACCTTTCAATACTCCTCAGTCATGGTGGCGAGGTCTGAAAGATGGGGGCGGGGGGGGGAGGGGGAGAGTCCAGCAGAAGAAACGGACAGAGACTGGGATATACTGGATCAGCCCCCAGTCATCTTGGCCTCATTCAGACTGTCTGCTCTAGCCACATCCCCTCACAGTCTGGGGTGGGTATCAGTCAGGCTAAGTTCCCCCACACCCCACACCCCGTCCCCAATCCCCGCCACCTCATCCCAACCCACAGAGGAGGTAGCATGCGCTCTGGGTTTATTTCCAGCTGCACCTTTCGGTCAACACGAAATTTCCGTCTTTGAGGACAGGAACTTTCCGCTGGCAGTTCAACTGCAAGAATTGCTCGCTCACGTGTTGCCCTGGGAAGGAAGAAGCCAAAAAATGTCTTCTAGGACTCAGGCAGTACCTCTGTATTTCCCCTCTCTCTTTGGAACCAGACAAGGCTACAGCGACCAATGCCTGGACTGGGACCAGCGGCACAGAGGTGGTTCAGCTATGTGTTTCTGTAGGAGCCAGCCATGATAAGCTAAATAGAAAGACCACCCAAAGGAAGTTCTTTACTTCCAACAACCATTATCACCTGCCAGAGTAGGACTCAGCCATCGAGAAGTTTTAAGGAGGCCTGAGTCTTATTAGTTTACCCTGAAGCAATACCTGGTTGCAGGAAGGATCATAAACTGGATTACCCGAGCACCACCCAAGAACAGACCATCCAAAGAAATGCCTAACATTCCAACCACTGTAGATAGGATCACCTGCCAGCACACACTCACCAAGACACCCCTAGACAAATGCCAGCCAATCAGGGGTCCTGAACCTCAGAAACCCCTCATCCCCACCTTTACTACTATAAAAACCCAACTCAACAGAGGTCGGGGTGTTCTCTGTTTATTCCAATATGTTGGACATGCAGAGAGACGGAGTTTGCAAACTTACATAAAATCAAGGCTCTTTGCTTTTACAAATGGAACTCCTTGCTGTTTTTGAGGGACTTTGTCCATCTGAGTGTAACAGTCTCTTCCCTGCAAAATCTCCGGGGGTTTTGTTAATCTAAATGTCACATACCTTCAAAGCAGGAACTCTGCAAATCTTTCGTTTTCTCCCCTACATCCCAGGGCAGAAAGTATCACCCTGTCCTTGTCAGAGCAGAATTCAGGTTCAGAGGGGCCACTCCAAATAGGGCATTCCCTGGTGAGGGCACTGGGCGATGACATGATGGGGGGACTGTACCCATTACAGAGTGAAGTGCTGACATGCTCTAGGCGAAGATGGGCGCCAGGCTCAGGCCAACCTTTGAGTAAATCCACGGCGTTCAGCTGGAAGGGGATGCCGTTCTTCTTGGCGAAGATGTAGACGGCACGGCAGGGTTGCGACAGGAGGTCGAGGTAGAGCTCCAAACCCATGGCGGCAGCGGCGCGGATGGTGCGGATAGTCGGCAAAACCAGCACTAGCAAGTGCAGGCGATTTCGCTAATAAGGTGTCCAGCTCAGTCTCAGTGGGCCAAGCCTGACACGTCCCCCCTCCTACACAAATGACGCCTGTTGACCTTAGGGGAGGGAGCTGCTTCGGTGGACTTTGCACAGAAAAGGGAGCGCGCCTTCGGGCAGAAGCTCTTGGCTCTAAGGAGTTGTGGAGCTAGAGATCCAGCCCAGAACTTTAGTGTCACCCGGAGCGGGAAATAACCAAACACCGCTTTTCAGTACCGAGCCCCGGAGAATGCTGTGGGCTGGACGTGCGCTCTGCTCCCAGTCCTCGGTTCCTGCTGGAGGGAAGAAGGGAACCCCTATCCCATGAGTAGTTTTGTCGCAGGCTGCTAGGAACCTTGCCTTAAGGCAGAACTGTTTAAGTACCAGCTGCCCCGTAGAAAGCTGCATCTCCTCCATCAGTCCATGAAATCTGGAAGGCTGCGAGCCATGACTGAGGGAGTAGTCACACACACACACACACACACACACACACACACACCCCACACACACTTTCATATGTGGCATCTTCCACAGTGATGGTCACTGACTTTATCTGAATCTTTTAGAATAGCTGTGGCCTGTGGCCAACATGGGGAACCAAAATGCTTCCCTAGGAGTTTATTTCCAGTTTTATTTCCTTTTTTATTTTTGGACACTGGAGGATCTTGGTATGTTGCCCAGGCAGATCTCAAACTCTTGGGCTCCATTGATTCTCTTCCCTTATTCTCCTGAACAGCTAGGACTCCAGGGGAGACTCACCCTGCCTGGCTTTTCTGGAAATTTTTATGTTTGTTTGATGGATTGATTTGGTTGGCTGTTTTGGGTTTTTGAAAACAGGGTATTGAAAAGTTTTTATGGATCAGTAAATCTCCGGCAACTCAAAAGTAATCCAAATCAGACCAATCAATAATCCAATCAATAATCAAAATCAGACCAAATCAAACCGAATTAGAAAAGGCCCAGGTTTAATGGATGCCAGCGCTCCCTTGTGGCCTTCCAGCCCCCCAGGGATGGAGACAGAGAAGGAAGATTCCAACTGGGGGGCAGTTTAAATAGCCTATGGGAGTGGTCTTGAGCCTCTCTGGGGAGGGGTCACCGTTTGGCAAGCTTTTTTGGGGGTGGAGTCTGGACTGAGGCAACTCCCAGAGGAGGGGTCTTGGGATGGAACTTTAAACCCAAATATTTTAGACTCCTTGGATACATGGATGCCAGGGGCTGGGGTTAAGCCTGGACCCAAACATTCCAGACTCTTTGGGCATAAGGATGTTAGGGGCTATTGCTATTGGCTGAATGAATTTTCACACCTCCCCCTTTTGTCTAAACAAATGGGTTTTTAATCTAATACAAAACTACATACAAAAAAAAAAAAACAAATATCAAGTATTGTCCAGGAAAAAGGAAAAAACACACAAAAATAGAACTACAACCAATATGAACATTAAGCAAGAAGCACATGCTAAATGTCCAGTCCAAGGCAATTAGCAAATTATAGAGAATATTCCAATAGTTGTCCTACCCCGAGGAGTCTAAGTCTTGTACTAAAATGCCTTAGCTAAGTTATGGGAGGAAAGTAGCTATGACTATCTTGTCTTTAACACATCAAAGATCTGAAAAGGAAAATTGTTGGGCCAAAATTATCTCAGAATCTATACCTAGAGGCTGTAGGACAGAGAAAAACCTGGCTTGAGTTTGAGGGATAGTTAAAGCTACCCAGTAAGGATGAGACAGTAAAATCTAGGTAGACACCCCTCCAGCCAGAGGAAGGGCTTGGCTGTCTCTCATTGGCTGGAGGTACCCCCACATCACATGATGTCACTTAACCTGTATAAGCTGACGCTCACAGTAATAAACTGAGTTCTTGCTTTGACTTGACTCCCTATGGCATCTGATTGTCCTGCGTCATGAAACTGCAGAATGGGCAGATAGGGCACTCACCTTTCCCTGGGGAATAAGAAGGCTAAGGAGGCCCGGCAACTGGTGCCGGAAGGTGGAGCAATTGGTCCCTGGGCAAAGCAGTCGTCAAGGTGAGTGGGACCCCACGATGGGTAATACAACTTCACACAAAAATGACCCAGCACTTAAAGTGTTGAGATATGCTACTCTCCCGAGGCCTGGAATTGTCAGACCACAATGTGATCCAGGCATGGGAGGATATAATTACCCTGGCCCCTGGGTACCCGCCGGGAATCTTTTCTCATGGGACACGTGGAACCAGGTGGAGACTCTGGCCAGAGAAAGGGAAAAACACTTTAATATACTCCCACCATTGGGATTCTATCCAACTGTTACAGGCCCTTAAGGCATGTTTTCCCCTCTTGTTCTACTTCCCCCAACAGTCTAAAGAATCCAAACATGATCTGAAGAATCCAAAAGTAACCAATTAACCAAAAGAATGGGAGAAAATGAGACAGACAAGGAGAAAGATCAAAAATGGGTGCAATTTACTGAAGAGCGGTTTCAGGGGGAAGGAATACAGCAGACAGAGGCAAAGACATAAAAGGAAAGTAGATATTGTCTGGAACGAGGAGTGGCCTTATGCCCCCAGCCACCCTGGAGAGGATAAAATGGGAGAGGGGAATGGGACAAATAAGGGGGCTCCTTCCTTGCCAGAAGGAAATGAATATACACTTGGGTGGGGCCGATGGAGACTAAGGAAAGTTTAGGACTCTGATCCTCCAGGGTTGTCTGCAAACCTCCTGGGACAAGATTTGTTAGGACAAAAGGATGCTGTTATTACCACTGACCACCTAACCTTTTATGATGATAAAACTGAGCAAGGTGTCATCAGGCAGACCCCCATCACCTGGATTCACCCTCAAAAGTAGAGGCCATTGCCCTCAGGGTCCCCCCAATTAGGTGGGCACCTGGTAAATGGGTATGGGTGGAGCAGTGGCCATTGCCTGAACTTAAATTTAAGATACTCAAGGAAATCACCAGAAATCTGCTTAAAGAAGGACAGATAAGGCCCTCGATGAGCCCTTGGAACAGCCCTATGTTTGTGATACTTAAGCCTATGGGACCTGGAGAATGTTACAGGATCTACAAGCAATCAGTGCCTGTATGGAGCTAGTAGGGGCCCCTTTAAGGGGCTTACCTTGGGTCCCAGTCCCCTCCCAGTTTCACCTCACTGTAATTGATCTAAAGGACTGCTTCTTCTCAATCCCTCTTCATGAGAAAGATTGCAAAAAGTTCACCTTTTCCATTCCTACAGTTAACTCCTCTTGACCTGATAAGAGAGATGAATGGGCTCTTCTCCCACAGGGGATGGCCAATGGTCTGGCCTTTTGCCAACAATATTCGTATAGTATCCTCTCTCCTTATTTTGACAAAGATAATACCCTCCTATATGTTTATATGGATGATCTAATCATTGGGCATTTGGAGGAATCAGGGTAACTCCCTGGGTAACCACTATTGTTGATATCCTCCAACAACATGACTTTAAAATAGCTCCAAACAAAATACAAAAGGTACCCCCATTTCATATACTGGGATCCCAGTTAACACTCACTCAAGCCAAAGTGAATGGATCCCAATTAATCCTGCCTGGGTCTCTCACTTTATCGGGGTTACAAAAGATACTGGGAGAAATGAACTAGGTAAGGTCCTGGTTGCCTGTAGAGGCTGGGAGACTAGATGTGTTATAAGATCTCCTAAAAGGGGGGCAACCTTATGAGATCATTTCCTTGTCCCCTGAAGTCCATCAGGCACTCGCTGAACTCATCAATGAGCTCCATCAACTCTTTGGAGAGATATAATCCTAACATTCCAATCCAAGGCTGGATATTATTAAGGAAAAGAACCATCTGGCTGCCCTTGTTCTGCAGTCACAACCACTAGAATGGGTACACACCACCTGGGGGGGGCACTCCCAGAGTGTACTCTTTAATCGATCAAATAGCTGATATGATCATAAAAATCAGGGACACTTCCCTCCGACATTATGGAAAAGATCCCTCTAAATTAATAATTCCATTCAAAATTAAGGATTTAGAATGGGCAGCCAGATATTGTTCTCAATTGAGCCTTTCTCTGGAGGGATTTCTGGGGACCCTGGACACCCACTTTGGGAAGTCCCGGTTAGTGAAGCTATATCAAGAACTACACTGGAGAGTCCCCTTAGTCTTTTCTTCTAGACTCCTGCCCCAAGCGTCCACTGTTTGCACAAATGGCGGTAAGAATGGGGCTGCCTTTGTAGTTTTCCCTGCAGGGGGGACCAAGACAAAGATTACCAAAATTCCCCCTTGTGGGGGATCCGCTCAGTATAAGGAAACAATGGCCATATATATTGCTCCATAAGAGGTCCCAGAACCCTGCAACCTCCATTCAGACAGCTCTTACGTGGTGAACCTTCTGCCACACTTACCCTATGCCTGTATCAGATTGGATGCTTAATACTATTTCTGCCTTGATGACAACTCAGATCACTCTTAGAAGGTAGACAAAATCCCATGTATATTCAACATTTCAGAGGACACCAAAACCTCCCTGGCTTCCTTTCCCATGAGAATGCTGCTGCAGATGTTGCAGCCTTCAGGGGCCTGTCTCATAGAGGTCTCAACTCTGCCCATACAAAATGCTACCCAAATGCATGACTTAACTTGTTGGGCCCTAAAGCCCCACCAAGGAGGAGGTCGCCCCAAGAGACACTCACAGCACGGTTGATGCAATAGCAAGAGAAATTTTTATTCTGCCACGCAGAGGTCCCTCAGCCTCAAGAGGAGAAGGATGCCTGCTTTGTCTATTACAAGCTCTTTTAAAGGAAAAAAAAACCATAAAATCAGGGAGGGGGTAGTACAGAATCAAAGGGAAAGTCCAAAAATCATTTGTCAACTATTTTGACTAGTTCATACAATGGTCAGCTAACTCTACTTGATCACTGTTATGGCAGTTAGAAGGAGGAACACCTGCAGGTCATCTCACCCCAGTTCCAGGGTCCGGGTCTATTGAAGAAAGACTACAGTGGGGATGGAAAGTACTCAAAGCTCCCGTGCACGCGTGGTTGGTTACCAGGGTCCTGGTTCTTAGGAAGGGGGGTGCAGTAATGCTTAGGTGCCTCCTAATGCTAAGGGCCTGGTTCCCAGGAAGGGGGGTGCAGTAATGCTTAGGTGCCTCCTAATGCTAAGGGCCTGGTTCCCAGGAAGGGGGGTGCAGTAGTGTTAAGGTGCCTCAAAGTCTTTCAAACTCATGTCAGCTGGAGAGGACTCAAATACCTGTACCCCCAGATCCCCACAACAGAATTAAAGAGAATTGTTCATCCATGTAAGACTTGCAAACAGTTTCTCCGCAC